CCCCTGCATCGGCAGGCGGACTCTCAACCACCGCGCCACTAGGGAAGCCCTGCTGATTGTCTTTCTAAGCCTTCTCCCTCCTTCCATCCTCTTTTAGTCTGGGGTAGAAAGACTAGCAAAACTAGCTGTGTTGGGTTTGTTTATTTATTTATTTGCATTGCTCCATCCTGAGGTGAAGATGTCCACAAGCAGGTAAGGCACGAGGAGGCAGGAAGCCAGGGAGTGAGTGCAGAGACAGGACCAACCAAGTCATCAACAACCTAGAAGGCCAATTCTAAATAATCAAGTTGGCCACGCAGAGACAGAGAGAGCCCATAAAAAGAACCTCCATGTCAAGTCCTGGGCTTTTCCCCTTCTCCGGGGTCTGAGGTTAGAAAGGTGGGAATTGGAATGATTTCCCTAAATTTCATATGAGCTTCTCCCTCCTTTGTAAATTAAAAAAAAAATACTGCTCACTGAGCTCTCTGTCTTGTCTTCTGCTTTGGGAAGTGGCATATCGATTAGAGATCTTCACCCCAGTTCTTATTCTGGCTGGAACGATGCCACCACCTTTAGTGAGCAATTGATTGGCTAGGAGTCCTATCTCACTACTCCAACCAGCCTGCTCTGGCAAGACACTGTTAAGTCCTATCAACAATGGACTAACTGGTAAAGCATTTCCTCACACGCTTAGGTTCATAGCCCCAGGCCTGCTATTGTTGCCCAGGAGTCCCTCTACCCATGGCCTCAATAGTGAATAAAATGCCACCATAGCCACCCTCCCCCATTCAGTGAATCTGGCCAGTGTAGGAAGGTGGGATGAAGGCTTCTCCTCTCACTTCAGCAGACATGAGAGGCAGCCTGGCGTATGAAGGGTGTTTTTCAAAATGGGGTCCCTAATGCCTCTGCATCAGAATCACCTTCGATGCTTGTCCAAAATGCAGACTGTGACATCCTTTTAGGATTCACTGAATTAAATTTTATGGGATTTGCATTTTTCAAAAATCCTCAATTGATTCTGATGGAAATTAATGATTGAGAAATACTCTTTTAATGGACAAGAGTCCAGATTTTAGAATCCAGATCTGGGATAGGGTCCTAAGGTCTGCCCCTTGCAGGTTATATGAACTTGAAAGGATCAATTAAAACCTCTGAGTTTTAGTTTCATCTACAAAATGGAGATGATGGAACATAAAGTTCAAGTGAAGTAACATCTGTGCTATGTATACCTAACACCAGGATAGGTGTTCATTCCCCCACCTATCAGAGAAGACTCCATTCTCCCATAAGTAATAGAGAAGACTCAAAGTCACCCAAGAAGTAGAATATCATACCTCTCCCCTTTCTCTGCTAACCAGTCTTTCAGTGATTTCTCCTCACCCCTAGACTTCTGTTTTCTGTTTCCCACCACAAAACAGAATCATTTGGCCCAGTGTTCCTTTCAAGAATGATTTATAGTTAAACTATTTCAGGTTTTCCTGGAAATCATCATGCTTTGGCACACAGTAGGAACTCAAATATTTACTGAGCTAATGCAATCTTTTATTTCCAGCCCAACTCACTTTAACATTTGCATTTCAGTTTAACCCCAGCACCCCATTTTAGTACCATAACCCCAATTTAGGCAAGTCTAAGGGATCAACCCAGCATATCAGCAAACCCAATCCACTTTTATTTCAATAGATAGGTCAGAACAAAATCCTTCCCTCCACTCCCAGAGACACGGACTTCCTCTCCTCAAATTACCAACTCTCCTGGGGAAACCAACTAGCATTTAACCCTTAGGTCTTCACACCATGTCAATATGAAATAGGAATTCAGCCCTGATTCCTCTTAGCCTCTGTGCAAACAACAGACTTGAGGAAGTAAAAATGCACCAGGCTGCCTTTGGGAAGAAAACAGATTCTCTGAGCTGTGAGATGAAAGGACAGGAAGCCTGAGAAAGGAAGGGGAGAAGGGGGGGTTGAGCAAGGGGAGAGCAAACAGTTTCTTATCCAGCTGTTTCAATTGCATTTGGCCCAAGTTGCAAATTTACCTTCTGACCACGAAGGCTGATTGACTTGTTTCCTCTCTTCGGACTCAAATCTGAGAAACAACTTCTCCTTACAGCTTGTCAGAAGGGGATGGGAATCCCAGCTGCTCTTTGCAGTGATGCCTGAAAATCTTGCTTTACCTTTGGGAGAGAGGGGCGGAGTCCAACCTAATGGGAATTAACTCCAAACACGCTGGAGGCTTCAAAGTCAGCCTCAGACATGCAGGTACTTGAAGTAGCTTAGCGGGCACTGAGTCCCCCACCTCCATCCTCACAGCTGCCAAGTTAGCTGTGTGTGAGTGTGTGAGTGTGTGTGTGTGTGTGTGTGTGTGTGTGTGTGTGTGTGTGTGTGTGTGTGTGTGTGTGTGTGTGCCTGCCCACACTTGAACTGCATATCTATCTCAGTTCCTCACCTGTTACCCAAATGCCTGCTGAGGAATAGAGGTTCTCCCTAACTTCCAAAGCCCTAAATAATCTCACCATGTATATTAGGTTCTCCCTAACTTTCAAAGCCCTAAATAATCTCACCATGCATATTAGGTATATTAGGTTCTCCCTAACTTTCAAATCCCTAAATAATCTCACGATGTATATTAGGTATACTAGGTTCTCCCTAACTTTCAAAGCCCTAAATAGTCTCACCATGTATATTAGGTAGCACCTAATGTGGCTAGAAACAACTCAGAAGACACATGCCTGAAGGGAGTAAGACAGAATAACCTCTTTTTCCCAAATTGATTTCCACTATGTGATAGGGAAGGTGCTCCCACAGAGCAACCTATGGCTCAAAGATATGACAAGTTTACATTTCAGAAACTTAAAATCACACATTGAAAAAGCTTAACAATACCTTTTAAAAAATAACAGTACTACCAAAAGTCAGTGTCTAACTTATCCCAAAGCACCAATAACTGTTTTTGTGTTTGAGAAAAGAGCTGAGAAGACTGGAGATTAATGGAGCTTTGCCTAACACTCTGCTCCAACCTGATGTCATCTCTCCCACCTATAATGTCCCTGGCACTCCATATTTATTTTGGTAAACTTATTATCTTCTGCCTTGTATTAGTTTTTTGCATGTATGTCTCATTTTGCCTCTGAGTTACCTTGTGAACAGGGAACTTTGCTGGACAAAATGAGTTAGAATAAGGAATCGTAGCTAACTTAACTTAATAGAGCATACTAGACTGATCCGAAACATCTTCGCTTCCATAATGGTCCACTTGCCTTCTCAGAACGCAATGAAGGTTATCAGGTTTGTTATCTAGCATCTAGTGGTAACAATTCAAAATATGACAGTAAATGAACCAGCAGTTTAGCACATTCATTGTACCCTGATCATTTAATATAGTTGCTGAAGTTTTTCCTGCGGGCATCCTCTCTTTTATCAGTGATAAAGCCTTATATTCTTCTATGCCTACTTTCCATCAGTAGTTTCTAACATTTTTTTTTCTGCCCCAACACACTGATAAACCACATTCCCATCTGTAATAATGGCTTACTATGTCCATTTCTGGGGGAGGAAGAGATGACCCCATAGGTGGAATGTCAGACTTTCAGCAATATAAGCTCCCGAGATAAGTTTTATAATCTCCCTGATCGTGTCCCCTTAAGAACGACGGCTTCAGATATAGGGCTATATAAAAAGAAATGCTAGACCCTCTCTCATTAAAAATAAGCCAGTATTAACAGACACATAATAACTGTGTGTGAGACATGGATGAAAATTTTGTCATCAGAAAGATAGTGATTCCACTCTATGCACTGATAAATATTGCCTTTTGCTTAGTGGCTACACCTGACATTTGGGTAACTGATCCCTATTTGCAACTCTAAGAGCTCATTTTTACTTACCTCTTTTTATCCTCTTTTCCCTGTGCCTCCAGTTTCCTTAAGTAAATACTATGGAAACTTAAATGTATGCTAAATAATGATCAAATTTATTGGATAAAGTTTTGCTTTCTGTTGTTAATTTAACAGTTGATAGTGGTCTCAGAAAAAAAAATTGCTGGTATCTTGTGGCTCTTGATATATTTTCATCTAAAAATGCTTTTCAGCCCTGCTTCCAGAAGATCATATGAGAAGGATTGAGAAGGGAACACTTCTTGTTATTTATTTAGGGGATAGGATGATATATAATATTTTAATAATGCTAAAATAGGCATTGGTCAAGGACCCAGGGAATACCTACATTCTGCCTTTGATCAGTATGGAATAAGAGATCCTGCAAAGACAAGATATGGTGATAGGTGATTCTGATACATATCCCCACCCCCATCCCTAGTTTGCAAAACACTGCTCTATACAGTAGAATTTCCCAAGCAAAATCAACACTCCCATGACATTTTGCAGTCTAGACAAGGGGTCAACAAGCCAGAGCCTGAGCTATGCACCAAATCCAATAGGCTGCCTGTTTTTATAGTTTTATTGGCATAGAGCCACAACTTATTCATTTATGTATCATCTATGGCTGTTTTCATGCTACAACTGCAAAGTTGAATAGTTGTGACAAAGATCTTATGCTCCACAAAGGTAAAATATTTACTCTTTAGCTATTTACACACACACACAAAAAATGCTGACCACTGGTTTAGACCCACACCGATAGATTATAGTAGAGACATTAAGTTAGTTGTTATGAGAAAGGCATTGAAAAAGGAGGAAAGGAAAGTGAAATAAAGAAAAGTGCTGCTTGCTTTCAGCTTTGTTAAGGTGCCAGTCAACCCTTGCCAGTCCTTTAGAATCTGTGAAGTTAACAACGCACTAGAGATCAGTATAAGCCAAATATTCGGTAAGCTTGTGAAAATGTATTTCTCTGTTAACTGACTATCCTTTGAACTGTGTTTATGTGGTTCTCCAATATGCCTTAAGTTTTTTTAACTGACCATTTTATTGAGATATAAGTCACATACCATGAGGTTCACCCTTTTAAAGTATAGAATATGGTTTTCTTAGTATATTCACAAAGTTGTACACTCCATCACCACTATCTAATTCCAGAACATTCTCATCACCCCAAAAACAAACCTCATACTTATTAGCGTATAACTTAACTTATTTATTCCTCTTTTGTCAGAGCTGCTTCTTCTTTGGGGGCTACTTGTTTTTTTTTTTTTTTAAACTTTCTTATTAATATGGCTCTATGTTTTGTTCTAGTCTTTCTTACAGGAAGGGACCATTTATTTCCAGAGTCCCATTGCCCTTGAACTTTGGAGAATTTGCACTATGTGCTTACAAATTTAAAACCACATAGACTCCATGACCTGTCACCCATGCAGGTTGAATATGGAAGGTACACCTTGCTTATACTATAGTTTCAGTTCTAGACTGAAAACCTAGAGATGAAACTTATATATTTCTTTTTTGTATAAAACTTAGAACTGACAACTCTTTTGGTGAATGTCCTTATTCAGCTCAGAGGATGACCTTATTAGTGTGATGTGGTGTGCAGGTAAATATTTAATAACTGGCTTCACATGGCAGAGGAGCAAGAGAGCCCTGATTGGTGGCATTTGCTGATCACTGTGTTATAAATACTCCCACCATGGCCAATTTCAAGCTACCAACTTGAAGTCAATGAAAGTGGAGTTGGGAAGACACACACACAGTCTACTCTCGTGAGCTGGTACAATCCAATTCCAGCACACTACTGGAACTCAGATTCAAGGAATTACTTCAGTCTTGGTTTGTGTAGATTTATAAGCTATAAACAATACTAACCAAAATACTATAGCTATCATAGTTGTTTATGTGTTGCACACAGACTTCTCCCCACTCTCTATACACTATGTTAGCTGGCACTGAAACATTTCACAAATATTTTGCTGTTCCAACTTAAAGCCTTTAGAGTGCAATGTGTGTATTATTAAGAAGTAAACCAAAGATAAATTGTTCATAGATCTCGTTGCCTGCTTTAACAACTTTTGAGATAGTATCTTTATTATATTTATAATAGATTAAAAAAACAGATTGCAATCCCTTTTTAAAGAAAAACTTTAAAATGTACCATATTTTTAGTCCAAATTGTGCAGTGTAAATTAAACTAAATTACACTATATTAACCACTATGAGCATCTTTCTGTAAGCATATTTATATTGAAATTAAATTTCCAAAAGAAAAAATATGGGGCTTCCCTGGTGGCACAGTGGTTGAGAGTCCGCCTGCTGATGCAGGGGACATGGGTTCGTGCCCTGGTCTGGGAAGATCCCACATGCCGCGGAGCGGCTGGGCCCGTGAGCCATGGCCACTGAGCCTGTGCTCCGCAACGGGAGAGGCCACAACAGTGAGAGGCCTGCGTACCGCAAAAAAAAAAAAAAAAAAAAAAAAAAAATGGAGAAAATTTGTCAACATATTAAATGAAATTCTTTTGAGTCTTACTTTTATTTTCAAAAGTCCTATATATTAGGTGGGGAGGATCCATCACCCATTCTGATTGTTTCCCTCTTGGAGAAGGGCAACCTGCCAACAATTACTTATTAATTGCTAACATGTGCCAGGCTCTGTGATAGGTGCTGGAAACACAAGAGTTAAGAAGATAGACAGGATCCCTTATGATTTTTACATTCTACTCAAAGAGATGCAAAAGATTAAACGAACAAACAAACATGATAATAATGGACAGTGATGAATATTGAGTAATTTTAAAAAATAGTGATATTGATAGAGTAATGAGGTTGAGGGAGACCTACCTTAAATAGAGGAATTAGGGAAAGCTTCTCTGGTGAGGCTTGGAGCTTAAAAGCTGAAGGATGAGAAGCAAGAGAAGAGCTGGAAGAAGTTGGGTGAAAACTGTAAATTCAAAGGCTCTGAGGAGGGGAGGATCTTGGCATGTTAAGGAACAGAAAGGCCAATGGGGCTGGAACATGGTCAACCAAGCAGGAGTGGTACCAGGTAAGGCTGGAGAGGTAAGCAGAGGGCAGATCATGCAGGGATTTATAGGATTTCTTTTTAAGTACCATGGCTAAGACCACACAACTTCATACGTACTTCTATGAAAACAGGAGCAGCTACAAGGAAAGAGTGACCATCATCTCCTATTTTTATCTCAGGGTTCCTGATGTACTATTGTTCACAGATTTGTTAGTAGTAAACTGAGGTTTATTACTTAGGCCTGAAATTTACTACTTTATCACTTAAGCTGCCTTGACCTAGTCTAAGTCATTATCCTCACCAGTCTTTGACCCTTGACCCGCCTTTCTGATCTTCCCAGCTCAGAGCAATGGGAAGACACTGTGTGATTTAAAGGATTATCTGATTTATATTTGGAAACTGTCTTCTTTTAAAGTATAAAAATTTGTAATATTAGCATTTCCAGGGCCCAGGTCTTCCTCAAAGCTTTCATCTTCTC